AGAATGAATACTGTAATGAACTGCACTGCATTGTTTGTTCACATTAGTACATACATAAACTTAATTAACCAAGACAACCTTATTGTAAAGTGTCACCTTTTCATATTTTGGATTGATACTATTTATTTTATTTAGTATTTAAAACCTTAAAGATTTTTGTATTATTCTTGATGTTTTGTCTCTATTTCAGTCCTCTATATGGTTTTTAATTCAATTTTTCAGCGAGATTGTAATGTAATCTATACTGTTGAATTTCTGTTTGTTTGTTTGTTTTTCTGTATTTCCCCCTCTATATTTAAAGATTATATACTATTTTAAAAGTACTTAAAACCAACCATCTAATAAAAAATACAATTAACTATCACATTTGGTTTCATGAGTGTCTTTGTTCCTGTTTTGTAGGACTCTTATTTTAACAGATTTAATTTGGAAACACTTGACTGATCATTCAATTAAAGTTTTACCTTTATTATTCCATCACTCAATCAGATCATTTAATTGTGAGTTGAATTACTCCATTTGTAATTGTTTTTAAATAAACTAAAAAAAGAAGACTTGCTTTATTCAGTTTGTTGAATGTGAACTTCTCTACTTTACATATTAAAATATATTTAAAACTATTATGAATGTATTTAAACTTATATTTAAATTTATATAACTGTTTCACTGTGGGTATTTCTATTTTAATCTATTTAGCACATTTATTGGCTATTCAAACGTGAAAACAAGTTTTAGATAGTTTGTGGCTCTAATAAATTGTTAAACATTACAATATCTTTGACAAAATGGTCTAAAATGATTGTTTACAAGTTTCTAAGTGGGAGTCTCTCTGCGTTCGCTTGACTTTTGTCCACACTGGCGCCTCATATCTTTCATGCTTTTGCTCTCCAGAGATCCTACTGTTAAACTGATTATTCCAGAATGTTTATATGGTTTATATATTGCTACACTATTTAGTAACAATACACGTTACCTAACCTATGAGGTTATGGTAAATTCTATAATAAATACTAGTGTTTTTGAGAGTTAGGTATACCGTCTATGTTTTAGGCTAGTATTATTTACAACTTGTTAATGAATGCTTTAGCATACTGTAGTATTAAGAATAGTGAACTGATAAAATGAAATACAGAGTGTAGTTTTACTACAGTAAAGTGTGGTGAATTATAGTATGATATACCCTATATTGTAAAATAAAACAGCATTGGGTAATTTATTTATATTACACTTGTGTTACCATAGCAACTATAGTATTACCATAACAGATTAATTGAAGTACTTTACTATAGTAGGCTACTGTTCAAAACACTGTCCATGCCAATAGATGTGTTCAGGGGCCCTGTGGAACAGCTTTGCCTCAAAATGAAGAGGATGACATGGAAAATGTCCTCCAAAGTCTCATCAACAATGTGGAAAACAACAGATACTAGTTCACTTTTTTTTTTGTTGCCATGATAAAATGGGATTGATAGTGACATTTATTTGAAGAGTGAATAGTACAGTAGGCTATAATACCCTATCAAGTTTTTCCTTATTTTTATCAAAGTTACATTTCTGCTTGCGTTACTTATATTTTTGTTTAAATGTTTTTTATTTGATTAGTATGGTGCACCTTTTAGATGTTTAATAAATGTTTGTAAAACAAAATGCATTCTTTACGACCTCAATTCTCTGTCTTTAAGTGTTTGAAACTTATACATATAACATACAGCCAATAGGTTATGTTTTTTTAGATAATTTTTTTTTTATGTTAGTCTATTTTAGTATTTTGGTTATTGTTAATAAATAGTGCCTCAATATAAATCATATCAAAAAGCACGAAAGGAAGAGGGAACACAAGACACAAATTCTGCATAATCTCTGAGAGCGCGCAGGAAAATGTGTGTGTGAGCAGTGCGTATTTGAGAGCGAGAAAATTTGCGCGTAAGCATCGTATATTTGAGAGCTCGCAAGCAGTTTTGTCCACAGAGGAAATCGATGCACGAGCATCACACAAGGTAGAGAGCAAAGTTCTTCATTGTTATGTGAAGAAAACAATGTTATTGTTTGTATGAAGTAGCCTACTTCATTGAGAATATGTGCCACAATTTTACATTGCTGCTAGACAGATTTGCATCTCAATCTCTTCAGCACACACGAGATTCAATTGACAAAATACCAAGTTCACTTAATTTTACTTTGCAACATGCAGGAGTTGTTGGTCTACTGCTGCCTCATTGAGGTTGTTTATATAGTTTTAGTTAATCACAAGTTGATCACCGAAGACATAAAATAGCACAACTAAACTTAATGAATTAGACAGCAGTAGACCTGCAATTTCTGTGTGATGTGAGGCAAAATGGACTCTATTGTGGTGGAACTCGTCCTTGTGCAATATGCTTTGGAGACAAGAAAATTACATTTGCATTTTTATATATCTGAGCAATGTTCTTTCATAAAAAAAGTTTGTTTAATAAATACAGATCTTACAACCATACATAATATGTTTACATTTTCTTTTTCTGTTAAAAAGACTCGAAAATCAAACTGTAGGACTTTGGACTTGACTTGTGACTTGTTGCCTTTGCCAAGTCAAGACTTGCCTGTCTTGACTCGGGACTTGAGGGCACTGAATTGAGACTTACGACTTGCCAAACAATAGGCTCGTTTGAGGTGCGCCTCGCCTTGACTGCATTGTAAACGAGAGCAGGCGTGCGCAGTAAGAGGAGGGCTAAAAAATTACATCAGAAGTCGGACACTTGCTGAATCTCGCTGTTTAGCCACCTGGAAACGTCACCAGTGGCGGAGATCTCGTTCGTGTTTTTTTATCGCAGACGAATGACCTCATGAAAAAATACTATGGTGATTTATAGTAATTATTATTGCATTTTTGAACATGTTTTTATAGTATTGGGTATGTTTATAGTTGTTGTGATACCAGAGCAACTATAAAATTTAAATAGGCTATTCTATAATACGGTTCAAAAGCACTACAGTATACATTACTATAGTATTTTTAATGTGGGAGTGGATGCAATAGAAATATCACTGTTTTTACAAAAAGATGGTCAGAATTACAGAAGATGAACAGCTCATTAACTAAAAGGGTGTATTAAACATATAATTCTGTATATTCAACAAACGTTAAAAGAATAACAAAATAAACAGCTTATACAGCAAGAAAGCTTTCAAGAAACCTAATTTGGCTACATTATAAATGAAGTAGCCATAGCAAGATGCTTTTGAGTGACGGGTCATGACAAATGTTTGTTTGACAAATAAATTCTTATGGGGTTAATTATATTGACATGCTTATTAGGTCTATATAAACTGCTTTTACTCCAGCCAGACTAAAATAAATAGCCCAAGACTTTCTCCAGAATAAAAACTATTAGACTGTAGGAAAAACTGTGGAAATGTTCTTGGTCTATTAAACATGACTTTTGACTTCACATACATATACATATTTGTGGATGTGTCTTGTTTACTACACCCTTTTCACTTCTCATATGAAACCACACAAAGATGAGGCATAATGACTAAACAGTCTGATTACCTTTGTATGTCTGAATATATGTGTGTATTGGATTGACTTTCATGGAATAATGCTGCATAAAAATTACAATACAAAATTCACACAAACATACAAAAAGTGAAAATGACAACAAACAGGACTTAAAATTGAGAGAAAAATAAAATACAGCACACACACATCCTTTGTTAGTAACATTTAGTTATATTGGATAGGTCACGTTATGTTTTACAAAGATGTGTTTTGTTTTTGTTGCGTGTAAATCTAAATAAATAACCGTAATGCTCTTTATAACTTTTTTTTAATTATCAACGAAAATACAAAAAAGGTATTTAACAAATCCAGGTATAAACCTTAGTTAAACAAGATAATAAAGTGTAATGTATCAGTCTCATCCAATAAGCATTCAGCTGTGTCGTCAGCCAGTCGTTTCCCATCATGCTTTTGGTAACGCAGTCTTTTGAGAGCAACTGCTGCCGACTGCTTAATCCGAGGTACTCGGCTCGCGAGAGTTTTTTGGCGCACGTCAGCGTGACATTAGAGCGAGGCGAAGGCAAGGCGGACACATTTCTAACCGGCATGCATCTTGCGGTGATCACCGGTGATCGATTCTGCGCAGGTTTTGTCCATCTCTAACGAGCCTAATGATTTGGTCCCACCTCTGATTGATAGATCATGTAATTAAAAAAAATAAATATAAATAAACATTTTGAATTTGTAGATTTCCAAAATACGTTCGCGTGTTTGCATGTGTGTACCCAATTCTTAGGCAAATCAGTTAAATTCATAATTTTTTTCAATAGTTGTTAATTCTTTTAGTATACCTCAACAGTTTCTATTATTTCAACTAAAACGAATGTGCATAAAAAAAATTTACACATTAAAACAGTCATAAAAGATGAATTTAAACATCATGAAAGCAAAATACATTATTAGTGACATTGCCTTTAACTCCATGCATCGTAACGCAGTGCACTCAACACTGACAGTTCCTTACCTAATTCAGAGCTTGCCACAGTAATTTCAGGAGTCCAAGAATTATCATGTAGAGGTCAAAAAGACACTCATTATCAAATAAAAACATTTGATCAAATGCAATGTTTAGTGTCTCTAATGTCTCTGGGACGCATGTGTGCTATCTAGACACTTCCTACAGATGTTTTTCAACACATTACAGATATTGCAATCTTACTTGCATTGAATAAATCAAACAAGTATTTGTTTTGTGATAATTAAGAGTTTTAACATTAAGTTTCATGGTCATGGATACTTTTCAAGTAGAATTTCTCCAACTTAGCACATTGAAGTTTTGCTTACAGAACTTTAATCAGGTTGTTTATAATAAAGACCCAGCAACCCACCCAATAGTCTATTGTAGCAAGTTGGTCTGTACATGCAAATCTTGATTTAGCTCAGCTATAGTCACTTGTTTCAAGACACACACAAAAAAGGACTAATAGAAGGAAAAACACCCAAGACATAATTGCACTAAAGCATTTATTGAAAGTAATCTCCAATGTGGAGAAGCTGGCAAACAAGTCTGAACCCAGAAGATCATTCCCTACGGCCTGTAAGAGAAGAAAAACCAAAGCTTAAAGTTAGGAGCAACCAGTTATTCCACTTGTTTACAAAGAGTAAAAACTGACCGAGACTACCATGTCCGTGACCTCCATGACCATGAGAACCGTGACTACCATGTCCATGACCATAGGAATCGTGACTACCATGTCCATGACCATAGGAATCGTGACTACCATGTCCGTGACCGCCATGACCATAGGAATCGTGACTACCATGTCCGTGACCGCCATGACCATAGGAATCGTGACTACCATGTCCGTGACCGCCATGACCATAGGAATCGTGACTGCCATGTCCATGACCGCCATGACCATAGGAATCGTGACTGCCATGTCCATGACCGCCATGACCATAGGAATCGTGACTGCCATGTCCATGACCGCCATGACCATAGGAATCGTGACTGCCATGTCCATGAACGCCATGACCATAGGAATCGTGACTGCCATGTCCATGACTGCCACGACCACCACCACTTGCTGATAGCAGCAAGCTGGAGCTCAGAAGAATCACTGAAAAAAACAAAAAAACAAAGTGATTAAGATACCTGTGCACTGCTAATGGAATTAACAGCGACACAAAACTTTAACCAAATAAAAACTTCTCAAGACAAGTATAAAGCAAATCATAAGTCTCACAGCACAAGTTGAGTAACAAGAAACTCACAGACAAGAAATGAACTGAGCGAAACCATGGTCATGCTGTCGTTCTCAATCATTCATGCGTTCTTTACTGATTTATATTTATAGGCCGCTAGTGTAAGTGGTAATGAGCAACACCTGTGCGCCACACCTGTATAAGGATTTGTCTTTAATTGCTGTTTTATCAAAAAGAGCAACAGATCACATAAGCATATTTTGGACTGTTTATCAGTATACACCAGAGAGATGTTTGCAATAAATATGGCAATAAAATGGGTTAGTGAAGTCAAAATACCTAATGCAATAATATGTTCAGATTCAAGTTTTGTGTTAATAAGTTTGGGTGAGCAGAAGTCAGAAACAAGACAAGATATGATAATAGAAGTTATTCAAGAACTATATGCACTTAAGCAAAATGATATAAAAGTTTTTATAGGTTCCTGCTCATATTGGATTAAGAGGTAACGAAGAAGCAGACAATTTAGCAAAAACAGCCATAGATAGAGAAAAGGATGATATCCAGATTCCCCTTAATAGATTTGAAATTAAATCTATTATTAAAAAGAATATCATGAAAGTGTGGCACTGTACTACCGGTAGGCACTTGTACCAAATTCAGCCGACTGTGGGTAAGGGAAGAGAAACAGATAAGAACAGAATTGAGAAGAACATAGGTTAAGGTTGGGTCACACAAGGTTGAATAGTATACTAATACTTGTGTAGTGAGTGAAACAGTTAAACACAATATAATTTACTGTAGGAAAAACACTGTCAAAAGAAGTGAGATGAAGGAGGAGTTGGAGAATAAGGCAGAGCAGTTTTCAATAAAAATATATTAAATTAAATTAAATTCAGGTAGAAGTGTTAAATCTTTATTGGTACAGTACTTTAATATTTATTCTTAAGTACTGGATTACATAAGTGAGTGTATCCCCCACCCCCTTTTTTATTTACACACACACACACACACACACATATATATATATATATATATATATATATATATATATATATATATATATTAGGGATGTAACGGTATCAGAATTTCACGGTACGGTAAGACCTCGGTATGAATGTCACGGTACGGTATTTATTGAATCATTTACAGGAAAAACAAAACTTTTGAAAATACTCCAAAAAAGTGCCAAAAGTGTCAATGACATACAAATTAGCCATCTATCTGTAAGCTTTGAAACAGGAACTTCAATTTTAATAACAAAAAATTATTAAACCATGTAAAAAAATAAAGTTTCAATTTAGTATTGTTGAAAACTCATCACATTCAACATTTAATCACTCACTCACTTACTTAGATAGAGATGGGTTTAAAGGAAAATATATATCATATAACTATAATCTGGTAAAAGCTGGTATCTCTGGGTATTTACAATGTCCCCTGCAACAGAAAAAAAACCTCTCATTTGGGACTGAGGATTCTGGGACAGAGATATGACTTGGCCCATGTTGACAGCAGTGGGGTAACGTTGTGCATTGTCTTTCCCCCACTTGAGAAGACAAACCATGAGTGAGATAGAGGTCTCTTTGCGGTACAAGTCAATGTCTGCATCAATCTGAACAGTGTGCTGTGTTTCTGCAGTCCCCATGACTGCTATTAGTCGTATTCCCCAACTTGCAGGCACGTGCACACATAGGGCTCAACCTGTGCAGTGCACATGCCCTTTTTAGTCTTGGATAGAAAGTGCCCTTCCAAAACGATCAAAAGTGCTCCCGCGACGCGACACAACCTCCGTCCAGCCCTTCAGTAGACAACACCGCTCTTGAGTATGCGCGCTCAACCCCCCCTCGGCGCTTTACAATACGCGCGCGACTACACAGCTGATCAGAACGCGCGCGACAACACTGCTATTCAGTACGCGCGCGACGACACTGCTATTCAGTATGCGCGCGGCGACAACACCCGCTTTAGGTTCGATCATTTCCATCTTTTTTTCATCTCCGCTACTAGCAGCACACTCTATTTCCGCATTACTGGATCTGTAGCGACAACAGACCGCAAAGGATTATGGCCACGCCTGGGCTGATGGGAAATGTAGTTTAAGCTACCTCCCGTTCGCTTCATTCGCCTGAGCAAATTTTCTCACAAGACCTATAGTTTTACCGAGTCATGCGACTTCGGTAATATCGAAAAAAATTAATATTGCGGTATGACGGTATTTACAATACCGTTACATCCCTAATATATATATATATATATATATATATATATATATGTGTTGATTTATATATATGTAAATAAAAAAGCGGACAGAGGTGAACAGAGGAGCTGAACACGCAGCGTCGAATGAAAATCAATATAGTCTCTAAATGGGTGATTGCGTGTGGGTAGGTAGGTTAGTTAGGAATTTACTGTGTGTAGTGTCTATGGTCTATATGAAAGATAGGAGGCAGTATTGCACTTACTAGTCTGCAATACGCAGTTAAACCTCAGTAAGAAGAGGAAAAGGCATATTTTCAACAGAATTTATTGCTGTTCTTATGGTTTTGTAATGGACAGAAAGACATCAGCATAAAAATGTGGTAATATGTACTCCTAATCAGTAATATGTAGTTTTCAAAGTGGACACTTAACAGACAGACAAGATATTGTATACAATGTATTAAATAAATTTTGCTACATCGATGAAATGGGAAAGAAAGTCAGCTTTTTATGGATCCTTGTCCATGTTGGAACAGAAGGAAATAAGTAGATAAAATGGCAAAAGAAGCATTGAAAGAGCAGGGTGTCATCTTTAGGGTCAGTTTAAGTACAGGAGAAGTAAAGGGGTTGATTGTATCTGAGATGAAGAGGGTGTGGCAGAACACATGGGTGAAAGAGGAGAAGGGAAGATATCTAGATGCAATTCAAAGGAAAGTGGGTATAGAAAGGACTTGTATAATGAACAGAAAAAAGGATGTTATTATAACAACAATTACAAATAGGGCACTCTGCTTTAAACCAATGTTTATTTAAAACTGAAAAGCACGAAAATGGTAACTGTGAAAGATGTGGTGGTCTCCCTGAAATGGTACCTCGTGTATTAATTGAAGTACAAAAATAAGTAATCAGCACAACTCATTTCTTAAAGGATTAAAAGAGCTTGACATAGTCCATTTCTCCCTAAAAGGTTTTTTATACAGCAAAGACAAAAAGGTTAATAATGAAATTTTTTGATGTTTCAAAGACACAGATTTAACAGATATGATATAATAGGTCTCCCTTATGTATGTTTTCCCTCCCTCTTCTTTTTTTATTTAGTGTTTTTTACTCTCTCTTTAATAGAAAATCCATGTAGTATTCCTTTACTAATCCTTCAAGATTTCTAACCAAGTTAAGCTTCATACTCCATATCAGTAGGTTGAGCAAAATTCATCTTAAAGTTGGTTTGCCAACCGCCATGTAAAACTCCAGAAGAAGAACTTAAAATGTGCTCATCTTAGCCTGATGCAATGGCTGATTCTAAATATGCGTTTTTCAGCGGTCTTGCATCCTCGTGTTCTCGTGCAACGTCATCATCAGCTGCCAAAGTTCAGTTCCAATACTCAAGACCACAAGAACAGAGGATGCGTGAAACTTCCTGGTTGTGATCTTGATATCGAGGACGCACCGATGCAGACTTGAGCACCGAACTCGCTCTGGAAGTCCCAGAAATCATTGCGACTGGAGGTGTGAAGTGCAGCATTTTATATAGATTTATCAGTAAAGTTCAGAGATATCACTTATTTACCTCAGGAGTTTCCCTAAATGAAACAGTGAAAGTAAACAATACCATGGACATCTTAATACAGGAATAAACACATTAGGCATGTTTGTTTGTTGAAATTCGTATTAAAATCAGTTTTATTTATATTGTGCAGAGTATACTGATAATGTTTTTATGCAAAGTATATATTTTGAAAAAAGGGGAAAACAATAAATCGTTGTATGAATGCTGTAATGTTTAAATAATTTACCATTTAAAACGTGTGAAGGTCATGTCACCTTAAAGAAGAACGCAGCGTCTCATTTCTCAAAGGACGCGTTCTCTGTTCTCGTGGTCTCCTGAGTTCGTTCTTCCGAGGACACCTGGCAAGACCGGTCTCCACAAGAACGCAAGTCCGTTCTCTGCATTCTTGGAATTGAGAAACAGCCAATTGCAAGATTCCGATTCTCAAAGCTTCCTGAATGTGTGTATTTGCCAATTCGAAAGGTGATGGAAGTAAGAGCATGTTGTGGCAAGTTTACTGTATAGGACAGGGGCTTTTAGATTAGAAGTGTATTGTGTGCTGTCCAAATGAAATTTAATACCACAGGCATATTACTAAAAAGCAATATCTCCTGTGAAGGGGACGATCACCCAGTGCGATCAGTAAACATGGCTGACGGTTTTAGAAGTAGGTTTCAGATTTATTTATTTATACCTGTTCTTAGCTTCTCTTCTCCCACACATTGATATTTTTTTTACATTTAATGAGGCTTGAGAGAAAACTAATGTTGAAATTGTGACTGAATCACTCACAGCGCTTCTTTAATGATCATTAATATCTCTACAAATAACCATATAGGCTATATTAGCAAGTAATGTGTTTGCTACTTTTGAATGTTTTGTGTTATTAGTTAAGTAAATTCACTGTCCACTGAAATAAAGAATGCAATAAAGGTTAACTTAAACAATTTAAGGCAAATACCTTTGTGAAGTTTATCTATAAACAAATTTCGAGAGGATCACGCGCTTATGATTGTTCACAGCTGTTCCAACTTTAGCTAATGACTGATTATCCTATCAGACGATCCTTAACTCACTTTAAATAACCAGACTTTTCTCATCTCAATATCTTCGTCTTGAAGAACCCCCCCCCATTTCGATCGATTTCAATTAAAAATCGAAATCGTGACACCCTTAATATATATATATATATATATATATATATATATATATATATATATATATATATATATATATATATAATTCGATTGATTTGAATATGACTTGCTAGACCCAGCTATGACTTGACATGACTTGAAATATAAGCAGAGACTTGACTTGACTTGAGTCTCACAAAAATGGACTTGACTTGTTTGTGACTTGAAGGTT